TATTTCACCCGCACGCATCCGTGTTATTGCTGCACTTCTTTCTTTCTGTTTTATAAGTATCTAATGAACATGTACCCGATAAAAGATTCGCTTGCAGTCCTTTTTGTGAAATACCTACACTAGGCAGTGCTCTGCAAAAGAAGTGTTGGTGTATTTCCACCTGTTTTAAAACACCACTCTTTTACTGAGAACAATGATTCTTTGAATTCGCATTCAAATCTTTTTTATCTTACTGTGTCTTTTCTCGATCCCCACGTAGAGATTCATTTAATGCCTCAATCAGCACTGACCCCCTATCTACCCCTTTCGTCTCTAAAATACCCACACACGAAATAGAAAACCACGTTAACCAGAGTATATGTAAATCTCCTTGTCAAAGGTATCTTTGTACTGCGGATTGGACAACGTTCGTGAGGGCTTCAGCTTTGTCAGTCCATTTTTCAAATTATTCTCAGACGAGATACCTCAAATACTCACAGTTATGCCGTGCCTGTGCCGGGGCCCCTTTTATCCGCTGAGAGTAGAGTGATTGGGGTGAATGACGACTCCTCCGCCTTTATCCCCCCTCCACACGGATATATTTTTTTACAAAGAAAAAATGAGGGAGGGTAGCGGGGGATTCATCGTCAAAGGAACAGAGAAAGGTTATCTCCTCACACTTGGTCATTGCATTATTTTTTTACGGTTCTTTCTTCTAACAGCGAAAGGATCGTCGTGCTGAGAGGCGTCACGTTTATGCCACTGTCGCCCTCTCAAGCACACATATCAAAAGTTTTGGCAGATTGTTGGAACGTATTAATGGGCACGGTAGCGTACACTTTTGTGCGTGTCGATGAGCACAACAGCGATCGTCGTTGTGGACGGCAACATTATGATTAGTGCGCCACACAAGCGACGGAAGAGACGATGGGGCTCCGATTTGCTTCAACAGACGGAAGCCCCTCATAGGAGGAAGGAGAAGGCGCGGGTCTCACCTTGTCAGTTTGAAGATGAAAAACATAGTAAGCATCCGTGGGAGATAAGCCGGTATGAACTTTTTCGGTGGCGCGTACGATGTGATGAAGAGGGTAAAGCATTGATGTTCTCACTATTGATAGAAAAAAAGAAGCTTCAGACCGATTGGGTTATTCTTTTGCTTACAAAACACTCTCGTATCTTGTGAATTGCTTAATGGACTCCTAAATACCCCATAAAAGTCTTCTCCTTCAATACCCCTGTTGATGTGTGTTGCTGTTGTATTTATTTGAGAAAATAGGGAAGCTCGCAACATATCGCTTGATAGTATTTTGGTCGGTAAATTTAGAGCTGACAATGCTAACGGCTTCCACTAATATACAATAGTAAGAATAAAGAATTTTCGTAATGTTCAAACGTAATGCAGAAATCCACCCATTTCGAGTGCTCTGGGATATATTTCTTTTCCGAATTCCGTCCCCTCATTTGTGGCGCAGCGCCATAGAACAGTCGCACAGGAATATGGCTGAGTTGACTGGATTACGTAAGGATCTATTTCAATCTGAAAACAAAAGTTTTATTACCGAAGTAATGCAACATAGGGATTAAATGAAAAAGGCAGCACAATCACAATCGAAATATTCTCGAAGGAACAATAACTGAGAAAAAAATTGAGAAAAACAGGGAGTACGACGTACAAATATTTAAATCATAGGAAAAGTTAAAGGGGCATACACATAAAAAGAAAAACCCTGTGAAGTTATAACTAATCGTCACCTTCCCCTGAAGTAAAATTCAATTAATGTGTGTGAGTGTATATTATGCTGTTTTCTACTGTTCTCATTTTTTCCTTTTTCTATGAGTTATCCTTCTGTATGAAAAGCCAAAGATCTATAGGAGCACCGTTAACAAGAATCATAAGACCTCAGATGCCACTAGCTTTGAGTGTTTTACTAGAACGATTGCTGCGAAGCATTATTATGCTTTACCTATTCTACATGCACCCCCTAAGACACGCATTCACTAACACTTTTTAAGACTATTTGCCCGTCAAGTTCGAAAGGTACTCAATATACATAAACATACAGCAAGTAGAGCTGTCTTAAAAATTTATTAATAGAAATAAATAATGAAGAATAAAAAAGCTTACCTCGTATCATTAATTGATCAGTGATAGATAGCTTCACTCGAAAAAATGATTGGTAGTATATGTATTCCATTTTATTCTCAGTGAGCATATTACTGACATTTTAGAAAAGGAAAGAGTGTTTTTTATTTAAAAAAATAAACACAAAAATGCGCCATGAGGCACAGCGTGTCGTATTTAAAATTTGAGGGAAGAAAATAGAGATAAATGTGTCTGTCGACAATACGGCTTTAATGTTTGAATAACAGAGCAGGATGGATAAATAATGATGCGCATTCCTTTTTTCCAAACATACATAGTGAGACCTTGATATTTAAAACTATTATTTGAATGAACTAGAATGCTTGCATCCAAAAATGTTTTTTCTTTTTAATTCTCTTTGCGGCGCCCTGGCATAATAAGGGAAATGTTTGTAGACATTAAAAGTTAACATCAGCGAAATAAAAATATTTCTCAATAGGGTAAGAGAAATACGACCACATCAGAAGGAAAGAGAATCATATTTCAAATACTCAAGCATGATTTTGCAATACCTTCTTAACAAGAGAAAAATTCAGAACCGTGAAACAGAGATAATAGGAATATCTTAAAATAGAATCCATAAAATTGACTCACCATTCCAATGAGAACAGTCTCTATAAAAAAAAGATACAGATCAAGCTAGTGTATCGAGTGCAGTAACGAAATTCATAACAATAAATGTTATACGTTAAACTGGGGGAGAGGGGGGACTTAAGAAAGATACATCCACTACGCTATACCCACAACTAAGAGGGGGAACGTAGTGGTGATAGCTTCCAAACATCGTGCGGGGTCATTGACCTCGCTGCCAATCCTTCTGTTCGCTCTCCTCCTCCACCACGGCGCGTGGTGAACTTTTAAGGCCGCATCTTAAGGGAGTCCAACCCTCGACATCCAGATCGGGACCAACGCGCTGCACCCCGATCAATTGTCGTTATAGGAATCCTCAAATTATAAGGTCCTCGCAGCCATCCCCTTCTCCCCTCCACATCTTCCCGGTGGCAAATGCGATAGTGGCACCTTCCACGCTGAGGTCTTCCCCGAACCCACCCGTTCTGGAGTTGAGGAAACGGTAATCACACCCCGTCTGCCCACGACAAAGTCGTATAAAACGTTTGGCGACGCCAACTCCAGAGTCCGCGCCGCGCTGCTTCCTAAACACTGGCCTCGCCATCATGGTCAATCCCAGTGTTGAAAGTGGTGAAGAAAAAAGCGCACACCGTACCTGACATCCACCCCGATTTGGTACTCCCGCCGACGGAAGTGGCTAATAAGCTCTTAGAAACGAAGCTGTTGATGTTGCCCCCGTTAGGAGATCACTCCGTCAGCGAGCCTGAAAGGGTGAATAAGCATGTGGAGCGAAAAAACGCTGAAAATTGGGTCTGGACTCTCAATCGAGACGTTGTTCACGGGCTGCACACCTTCAAAGGTCCAATCGTGGTGCACTACGACCGAAAAGAAAATAGTAATGTGAGTGAATAATTATTAAATAACATTAATAATATAGGTCTTAACCAATTAAGACTTAAGGGTTAGAATGTATTAAGGAAAAAATAAACGATGTCAACTTTGCCATACGCATAAAAAAAACGCGAATGGAAAACGAGAATATTTTGCTACACAACGCGATTAAATTCGAAAAAGCGTATTTAAAAAAGGAGGATCAATCGCAGCCTAAGGAACAGGAGCCTCTGGGAGCGGAGTGAAATATTGACGAACGTAAACACCGCTCAGACATTCCCATATTTTTCCCTTCCTCTTCGCTTTATAAGAACTCCATCTCCCTTTGGCACAGTGGACATAAGGAGCCCCTAACGATCTTGCACCAATTCGGATATTTTCTACCGTAAAAAGTTCAACCGCTGTGTCTTCCTCACCAGTAGTTATATATTAGCGTAGTGATAAGAAAATGCGAGCCTCAAACGTTATATCCCTGTGAGTGTGGAATTCCATCATAGAAATATTATATTCATCAAAAGAACTTTCCCATCCTTGAAGTCCGTGGTGTTTTGAGGAAAAGGTGTCGTGTGCTAAAGTGGATATAGATAAGTCCTAATGAGGGGGAAAAAAATAGACGTGAAAAAAGAGATAAGTAGGTGGTGGGGTCAGGACCAGCTTCGTATTTTCGCGTTCCCATAAAAAACCATTAGTTAATAGTACAAAGAAAAAGAGATATGTCAAGCATAAAATGGAGAAATAGTGAAACTACGCACACTTGTAAACATACACCAGACTAGGGCGTGTTGTCTGTTAGCAGGTTAGATTTCAAGAACTCTTATCAAACAATAAAGCAATCAATATATTTGTGTGCAATTCGTGACGATAATAAGAGGTCGCCGGCAGGTTGTTGTTAGAAACAGGTACTGCTGGAGGGAGGCCACCATAAAACAGAAAGCCCATACAACACTACGGTTTGTATAGAGAAATATAGAAATAGATGCATATATGAAAGCACTGAAACACACACAAGCACACACATGCAATAAAAGAAATACTACCATATTTGTAGTATTTGTATCGACTGAAAATTGTAAACAACAAATTTTCTATCAAAAAAATGAGAGAAAAGTAACAAAAACAAGCCACATAAATACACACCTGCAGAAACTTATATTGAAATCCCACTAAACATAGCTATCGCATATTTTTTTGAAAATGCAAATGGAACCCTTTGAAACGCATAATACTCAGAACAAAATCGAGTTGAAGACTTGTGCTGAATCTCAATCTTCAATCAAGACATACCAAAAGTTTCAGAATAAAATAAGAAAATACACACACACATACATACATACATATATATATATATATATATATATGAGCCGCATGTAAAGGGGAATGAGACCACTACAAGGCGCTAACTGCTCGGTGCGAGGAAGTAGTCAAACACCTCCTTAGGCCCCATCAGCACGCTCCGGAAGAATCCACGGCGTACGTACCCCGTCACGTCATCCTCGCCACCGCCTCCATCGTAGTAGTAGCTGTACCTGCCGCGCCGCTGCCTGTCATTGTAGCGGCGCTCGTGCTCACCGCGAAACGTCGGTGCCGCGAGCGAGAGGTACCCCCTCGCGTAGTAGAACACGACGTAGCCGCACCCGCACACAATCATCGTTTGCACAACAAAACGACCGATGGAGGTGTAGTACAAGGACAGACGATACTGTACACGCCGTCGAACCGCCGTGGGTGACCAGTCATACCACGCCGGCGCGTCGTACTCCGAATTGCGGCGCCGTGATTCCGCCTCAGCCGTGCGTATCCGCTCCGCCTCAACCGCGCGTTTCCGCTCCTCACCCTCCACCCCAACCTCACGCATCCCATCGCCGAGCAGCACGCCAAGCGAGCGGAACTGATCCGCGTTGAGGGCACTGTAGTCGAGGTCGTGATGATGAGCGAAGTAATTCCTACAACTCCCATCCCCACCGGCGGGAAGCGTGGTGAGACGGTTCAATAACTGTCGCTGCAGGAGGTCGACACCGAAGAGAAATTGCGCCTCGGTGATAGGGATGAGTTCGCCAGGCTCTCGGCCGACGTGCACCGCGAAGCACTGCTCCACGTACTTCTTCCCTAACACAGAGTCGCTCCTCGCAAGACTGCGGTACTCGTTGACAGCCCAGCTGCTGTAGTCACGGTACCGCACAAGATAGTAATCCTCCTCTTGCAGATACTGAAGGCTCGCGCGCACCGCAGCTTTAAAGCCATGTGCGGGCATGCTGATGTAGCCACCACCTGAACTAACCGGCTTTGCACCGTATGAAGAACTGCCCCTATCAAAGTTAGGGGAGCGTCCACCGTAGTCTTTATCGTTTCCCTCGAAATAACCACCTTGTGGATGAACGCCTTGCGCATCACCACAGTTAACGAAGGATGCGAGCTTTTCCTCATCCCCAGCGTTGAGTCTTTGATCGATGTGGTAAACGGCCATAGCCGTCTTGGAAAGCCTAAACATGTCGTGCGAGAGATCAATATTACGGCCGGTGCATGTGGAGTAGTTCATCTGCAGCTCCGCAAGTGGACGACTCTGCAGCAGCAGGTACGTCCGGTTCGTCGCGCCACGGCGGTGCAGGGCCTCAAGCAGCCCCATCTCATTCCTCCCAGGATCAGGTATCCAGAAGGTCTCACTGATATCGCGGCCAAACAGCGCCGCTGACAAGGCTCGGCGGATGTCGCTGCCCGATTCATACGACGTCGTGGAACCCCTCCCCGTAGAGTGCAGAACGTCGGCAAAGTTAGATGGGTCACGAACTCGAATGGTTATTGGGTTACCAGCCGCCGCGAGCGCTCGCGCAGAGCTATTGTTAAGGATTGGATGTTCAATGAATTCACCACCGGCATCCCCACTAATACGAACCACAACGGGTTGACCCCAACCCGCAGACAACGCCATACGTTGCTTCTCAACGTTTATGAAAAGATAATGGTAAATTATCTCTCTGCACTCAGAGTAAAGCAAGTCTACAGACAAAAAATGATAATCTTAAAAAGTCCTTTACTATGAATATATATAACAAAATATAAATTTATAGGGATAACAAGACTAAAAACGATAATAATAAAAAGTAGGCATCTTAATCAAAGCTCAAAAATATTCAAAATTATATCATTCAACAACAAAAAGTACATAGAGCTAAGGTTAGTAACATTAAATCCATCATACTCCAAACCACTACTCGTATCTGACTCACACACTAGTCCTAACTCCGA